TCATGGAGAATGAAACAGAAACCAATTCAGTGATCTTCGGAATCCTAACAATTTACAACGCGCAAATACGAGATAACGATGAAAAAATCCCCGGTTTCCTTAAAACTGGATCTTCACCCGATCAGCTAAGACGCGTGTCGCACAAGGTTGCCGCTTGATCGACATCCAACGACAGCCGACTGCAAAGATCGCAGTCGTATCTTGTGATACTCTATTAATGCGGGAAGAGATCAAATATAAAACAGTAAAGAGAAAGTTTAAACTTTAACATTCTTAGATGATGTGGAAAAGATGGGAAAACAATGTGGATTTTTTAAGCGACGATCAAAGAAATTTTTAAGCGAGAATCCCAGATATGATTCTGTGATTGTCGCTTAAAAGATTCTGTGATCGACGCTTAAAAAATCCACGTTGTTGGGTTGGGTTTCGATCAGGGCTTGTGGCATTCGGTTGTCTAGTCTCACTGAGGAGCTGTGATACAGAGAAACAGTACTGTTTGCGAATGTCATACATGCATATATATATATATATATAAAGATTTGTACCCACAGAACCTCAGAATAGATTCCTTAAATCGTCTAACTTTTCTAGCGATAACACGCTTGATTATGTTGGAAGGATACCCATTATCTACAAAAATACTGTGTAACTTCTCAAGTTCACCGTCCGATAACTTTGGGGAACAAATCATCAAAGCGCGTTGAACCAGTGTTTCAATCAGACCTATCTTGCGGGACTTGGGGACAAAGGAAGTCCAACTGGTATATAAACCAGTAAAGGTGGGTTTGCGAGAGACGGAAGTATCGAAAACCCCATCCCTACGTTGAACCAAGACATCCAAAAAGGGCAGAGAGTCCGCTTTCTCGATTTCCATAGTGAACCTAAGGGAAGGATGAAGGCAATTTAAACCTGCCAAGAAATTGTTAGCGACACCAGAACATTCAAAAACGCAAAAAGTATCATCAACATACCGTTTATAAACTATATGTTTATGCAGGCTGAAAGACCATTTCACAAGATCATTAAAACTCTTGGAAGGATTGTGAGTTAATTTTTTTCCCTTTTATTAAATCTTTTCGAGCTGAGATTTACACCCCACTTGCGTTTTAATTATATTTTCAATAAATTTAATTTTAAACGAGCTCGGACTCTTCTTCCATTTTAGTAAATATGTCAATATATGTGTCCTCTTCATATTAATAAATAATGTGCCAACGCGTTACCTATGAATAAGTATTGGCCGAAAGATATCTCAGGTGCTGAAGGTCTATAAAAAAGGTTTGATTAATAAAATGGCGTCCCTGTTATATATATACATATATATATATATATATGTGTGTGTGTGTGTGTGTGTGTGTATGAGAAAAAGAATGTCTATACTAGATTGCCGGTTAGGGTGCATCATTTTACATTCAAAATTAGTAGAAGCAACAGTTCGTTCTATGCTAACAGTCTCTCATCCCTCACTTCTCGCTTGTGCCGATTTTGATCTTCAAGATTAAAAACCATTATACATCCTTATCCTCCCTCCTCTTAATTCTTGTTCTTTTTTTGCTTTCTCTCCTTAATAATATTTTTTTATGTTCTTTCACACTCAGTGACCCTTTGTTTCTTAGTGGCTTTATTGCCTTGTTTGGAATGGAATGATTAAAAAGGCGTATGTTTCGAGAAAAAAATTTTTTTTTTATGTTTTCTTATTTTGAAAATTAATAGCAGTAACGATTTTTGGAAAATGCTAAAACTAAGGTCAATAACATTGTCAGCGATTGACGCCGAGTAAACAAATTTAGCTTGTGTCTAGTTTCGAGTTTCACCAGAAATAGATGTGGGCGTGTAGATCCTCTGCACACACTCGGATTGCCCTTGATCTCTTGTGGATATGGAAAAGTACAGCAAAAGATAATTAAAACAAGAAAATCTACCTAGTCATCAGCAGAATCATTAAAAAAAATGCAGTCTTGAAATCTGAAACTGATTGCGGGAGTGACTACCTTTCACTCATATGCAAAATGGTGGTAAATCTCATAAAACTAAAGCATGAAGAAATACTTAATCTCACTATGATGTAGGAGAAACAGAAGATGCCGTCAAGAAATGGTACTGAATTTCTGATGTTAAACGTTAACATTAGAAATATTTGCGAGCAAAAGAATAATGGCTTAATAGTATATTTGCAGAGACAAGTAAGAATTTGCATGTGACAGATGTAGCAGGTAGGTCCTAAAAAGATCAAAGAAATAGTTGGAGAGAGAATGTTCTCTTTGGATCGATGTATAAAATTCAATGTTGGTGTAATTATGGCTGAATAAGAAACGGTACTACAGAGATGGAAAGGATACATCGAATATGTCTTTTCTAACAAAGAAAAACAGTCTACAAGGCAAAAATACATGGTCATTCTTATTCTGTGTGTCGTGTCCCTTCAGAACGTGAGTGATCGTGATTCCCTACAAAATCCAATCTATTATAGCTCTTGATAGCTTTTATATTTTTGCCACCCATCCCAACCCCGTACCACCATCCATTCACCCAAGCTCGTCAAGAAGATGACACCCTTCTTCTTTCGATCGGTTTTGAATTCGATATGCCCTTTGAGTATCAAATTCTCCAAACTCTCCCCACTCATTAGGTGGCCAAGAAATTGTCAGTTTCTTATTCTAAATATATGTTATTTCTTTATCTGTTGTTCTATACATCTTCCCCATTGCTCACAGATTCCGTCCATAGTATTCACAGCATCCTTCTGTAGCAACACATTTCTATTGCTCCAAGTTTTCTCTTCATCTGTGAGAAAATCGCACAGAATTCACTGCCATATAGAATCTGGCACACTCTTTCATGTTTTTAGTACTGTAATTTGTTGCTAGTCGTTTTTTTTTTCATATTTCCAACACCCAGTAACCTCTTGCGTTCTAGTGGCTTTATTACCTTGCTTGGGGTGACTTTTTTTAAAAAGAATATATACTTATATTTTAAAGCTTACGCAAATGTATGAAATGTTAGGAAAGCTTGATCCTTAGAGAAAGACAATTTGATCTCTACTGGAAACAAATGGATAGATCATGAGTTAACAGAATACGCAAAAATCGAAAGAGGTGAATTAAAAACAATGTATTCTTTCATCTGAATTATTTAAGCTTACAGAAAAAGTTTTAAGAGAACATGATGGCTGATCAGGATTTATTATCAGCCGACATAAAATTGCCAGCGTAGGCTGTGCAACCGATAGTCTGTTAAAGGCAGACAATAAAAAAACCCTGAAAGAACTATTATATAAAGTAGTATTGGAACGCAGGAAGAAAGGACTAACTATTAACTGCAAAATGAGGAATGCTTCTTTTAAGGACAAAAATAACAATAATTAGAGTTACGTATCAGGTGACGTGAAACTTAAGTACTGGTGTAAATCTATCTGAATATCGTATTAAGGGATGTGACAGATAGTGAATTACGAAAAGTTAAAAATTAAAGAAAGAAGCCTTTCAGAAACAAAGCAAAGAAGCGAAGCAACTAAGAGAAAGAAATATGTTCTTAGAAACAAGAAAGGAGTGATGAAATTTCTATGTAATATTTAATTCCCGAAATCACGTCTTCTCACAGCTGAAGAAATGCCTTGATCCGACAGCGATGTACTTTATGTACGAATCTCAAAAATCAGATGAAAAGCGTAACTGAGAAATGATGGAGTTTAAAAGAATGAAAACTACAAAAACTCGCTATTAAATGTCAGAAAAAGAAATAGTCGAGATTTTCCATATATATAAGAGAGATTTCGAGACGTTGTGAACTTAACATTGAGGGCAGGCAAAGCGGAGACAGAATAGTGAGTAACAGAGGGTACATGTTTGAGGAAATAAATGACAGATCAAATACCATAAATACTGAGAAGATGGTGTTGTAAGAGAAAAACAGACTAGCAACAAAGTCCAGGAAATGATCGTTCATATCATAAAAGAAAATAATATAGAAGGAAAAAACAATCACGTTTTGGTATAATGACGATCAAAATAATCAGAAAGTGTTAGTTGAAATTTCTAGGACACATAATATGGAAGGAAGGATTGGAATTAACATTCATGCAGAGAAGAAATTCGGACAAAATGGAGAGTGGATGACATCAGACAATAGGGAGAGCAGAAGGCATCTGACAAAATGGAGACTGGATGACATTGGACAATAGGGAGAGCAGAAGGCTTCAGGTAAAATGGAGAGTGGATGACATCGGAAAATAGGGAGAGCAGAAGGCATCTGGCAAAATGGAGAGTAGATGTCATCGGACAATGGGAAAGTGGAAGGCATCAGGCAAAACGCGGAACAGATATCATCGGACAAAAAGGATATTGGAAGACCTTGTGCAAAATGGAGAGCAGATGCCATCGTACAAAAGAGAGAGCAGAAGGCATTGTGCAAAATGGAGAGTGGATGTCATCGTACAAAAGGAAGTGCAGAAGGCATTGTGTAAAATGGAGACTGGATGTCATCAGACAAAAGGAAGAGCAGAAGGCATTGTTCAAAATGGAGAGCAGATGTCATCAGACAAGGGGGAGAGCGAAAGGCATTGTGCAAAATGTAGAGTGGATGTCATCGGACAAAAGGAAGAGTGGAAGGCATTCTGCAAAATGGAGAGCGGATGTCATCGGACAAAAGAGAGAGCGGAAGGCATTCTGCAAAATGGAGAGTGGATGTCATCGGACAAAAGGAAGAGCGGAAGACATTCTGCAAAATGGAGAGCGGATGTCTTCGGACAAAAGAGAGAGCGGAAGGCATTGTTCAAAATGGAGAGCAGATGTCATCAGACAAGAGGAAGAGTGGAAGGCATTGTGCAAAATGGAGAGTGGATGTCATCGGAGCAAAAGAAGAGCGGAAGGCATTGTGCAAAATGGAGAGTGGATGTCATCGGACAAAAGGGAGAGTGGAAGGCATTGTGAAAAATGGAGAGATGATGTCATCCGATAAAAGGGAGAGCGGAAGGCATTATGCAAAACGGGGAGTGGATGTCATCAGAGAAAAAGAAGAGCGGAAGGCATTGTGCAAAATGGAGAGTGGATGTTATCGGACAAAAGTGAGAGCGGAAGGCTTTCTGCAAAATGGACAGTGGATGTCATCGGACAAAAGAAAGAGCGGAAGGCATTCTGCAAAATGGAGAGCGGATGTCATCGGACAAAAGAGAGAGCGGAAGGCATTGTGCAAAATGGAGAGTGGATGTCATCAAACAAAAGGAAGAGCGGAAGGCATTCTGCAAAATGGAGAGCGGATGTCATCAGACAAAAGAGAGAGCGGAAGGCATTGTGCAAAATGGAGAGTGGATGTCATCGGACAAAAGGAAGAGCGGAAGGCATTCTGCAAAATGGAGAGTGGATGTCATCGGACAAAAGAGAGAGCGGAAGGCATTGTGCAAAATGGAGAGTGGATGTCATCGGACAAAAGGGAGAGCGGAAGGCATTCTGCAAAATGGAGAGTGGATGTCATCGGACAAAAGGAAGAGTGGAAGGCATTGTGCAAAATGGAGAATGGATGTCATCGGACAAAAGGAAGTGCAGAAGGCATTGTGTAAAATGGAGATTGGATGTCATTAGACAAAAGGAAGAGCAGAAGGCATTGTGCAAAATGGAGAGTGGATGTCATCGGACAAAAGAGAGAGCGGAAGGCATTGTGCAAAATGGAGAGTGGATGTCATCGGACAAAAGGAAGAGCGGAAGGCATTCTGCAAAATGGAGAGTGGATGTCATCGGACAAAAGAGAGAGCGGAAGGCATTGTGCAAAATGGAGAGTGGATGTCATCGGACAAAAGGAAGAGCGGAAGGCATTCTGCAAAATGGAGAGCGGATGTCATCGGACAAAAGAGAGAGCGGGAGGCATTCTGCAAAATGTAGAGTGGATGTCATCGGACAAAAGGAAGAGTGGAAGGCATTCTGCAAAATGGAGAGCGGATGTCATCGGTCAAAAGGGAGAGCAGAAGGCTTCAGGTAAAATGGAGAGTGGATGACATCGGAAAATAGGGAGAGCAGAAGGCATCTGCAAAATGGAGAGGATGTCATCGGACAAAAGGGAAAGTGGAAGGCATTCTGCAAAACGCGGAACAGATATCATCGGACAAAAAATGGAGGATATTGGAAGACCTTGTGCAAAATGGAGAGCAGATGCCATCGTACAAAAGGAAGAGTGGAAGGCATTGTGCAAAACGGGGAGTGGATGTCATCGGAGAAAAAGAAGAGCGGAAGACATTGTGCAAAATGGAGAGTGGATGTCATCGGACAAAAGGGAGAGCGGAAGGCATTCTGCAAAATGGAGAGTGGATGTCATCGGACAAAAGGAAGAGCGGAAGTCATTCTGCAAAATGGAGAGCGGATGTCATGGGACAAAAGAGAGAGCGGAAGGCATTGTGCAAAATGGAGAGTGGATGTCATCGGACAAAAGGAAAAGCGGAAGGCATTCTGCAAAATGGAGAGCGGATGTCATCGGACAAAAGAGAGAGCGGAAGGCATTGTGCAAAATGGAGAGTGGATGTCATCGGACAAAAGAAAGAGCAGAAGGCATGCTGCAAAATGGAGAGTGGATGTCATCGGACAAAAGAGAGAGCGGAAGGCATTCTGCAAAATGGAGAGTGGATGTCATCGGACAAAAGGAAGAGTGGAAGGCATTCTGCAAAATGGAGAGTGGATGTCATCAGACAAAAGAGAGAGCGGAAGGCATTGTGCAAAATGGAGAGTGGATGTCATTGGACAAAAGGAAGAGCGGAAGGCATTCTGCAAAATGGAGAGTGGATGTCATCGGACAAAAGAGAGAGCGGAAGGCATTGTGCAAAATGGAGAGTGGATGTCATCGGACAAAAGGGAGAGCGGAAGGCATTCTGCAAAATGGAGAGTGGATGTCATCGGACAAAAGGAAGAGTGGAAGGCATTGTGCAAAATGGAGAATGGATGTCATCGGACAAAAGGAAGTGCAGAAGGCATTGTGTAAAATGGAGATTGGATGTCATTAGACAAAAAGAAAGAGCAGAAGGCATTGTGCAAAATGGAGAGTGGATGTCATCGGACAAAAGAGAGAGCAGAAGGCATTGTGCAAAATGGAGAGGGATGTCATCGGACAAAAGGAAGAGCGAAGGCATTCTGCAAAATGGAGAGTGGATGTCATCGGACAAAAGAGAGCGGAAGGCATTGTGCAAAATGGAGAGGGATGTCATCGGACAAAAGGAAAGGCATTCTGCAAAATGGAGAAGACAAAAGAAGAGTATTCTCTGCAAATGGAGAGTGGATGTCATCGGACAAAAGAGAGAGCGGAAGGCATTCTGCAAAATGGAGAGTGGATGTCATCGGACAAAAGGAAGAGGGAAGGCATTCTGCAAAATGGAGAGCGGATGTCATCGGTCAAAAAGGAGAGCAGAAGGCATTCAGGTAAAAGAGTGGATGTCATCGACAAAAGGAGAGGATGACATTCTGGAAAATGAGGAGGAGAGAAGGCATCTGGCAAAATTGAAGGCATTCTGCAAAATGAGAGTCATCGGACAAAAGGAAAGTGGAAGGCATCAGGCAAAACGCGGAACAGATATCATCGGACAAAAGGAGGATATTGGAAGACCTTGGACAAAATGGAGAGCAGATGCCATCGTACAAAAGGAAGAGTGGAAGACAAAAGGAAGAGCCGAAGGCAAAACGGGGGAGTGGATGTCATCGGAGAAAAAAGAAGAGCGGAAGACATTGTGCAAAATGGAGAGTGGATGTCATCGGACAAAAGGAAGAGCGGAAGGCATTCTGCAAAATGGAGAGGGATGTCATCGGACAAAGGAAGAGCGGAAGTCATTCTGGAAAAATGGAGAGGCGGATGTCATGGGACAAAAGAGAGAGCGGAAGGCATTGTGCAAAATGGAGAGTGGATGTCATCGGACAAAAGGAAGAAAGGAAGGTTTCTGCAAATGGAAGGCATTCTGCAAAATGGAGAGCGGATGTCATCGGACAAAAGAGAGAGCGGAAGGCATTGTGCAAAATGGAGAGTGGATGTCATCGGACAAAAGGAAGAGCGGAAGGCATTCTGCAAAATGGAGAGTGGATGTCATCGGACAAAAGAGAGAGCGGAAGGCATTGTGCAAAATGGAGAGTGGATGTCATCGGACAAAAGGAAGAGCGAAAAATGGAGAGTGGATTCTGCAAAATGGAGAAGAAGGCATTGTGAAAAATGCAAAATGGGTCATCGGACAAAAGAGAGAAGGGGAACATTGTGCAAAATGGAGAGTGGATGTCATCGGACAAAAGGAAGAGCGGAAGGCATTCTGCAAAATGGAGAGTGGATGTCATTGGACAAAAGAGAGATCGAAGGCATTCTGCAAAAAAGGAGAGTGGATGTCATCGGACAAAAGGAAGAGCGGAAGGCATTGTGCAAAATGGAGAGTGGATGTCATCGGACAAAAGGAGAGCGGAAGGCATTCTGCAAAATGGAGAGTGGATGTCATCGGACAAAAGGAAGAGGGAAGGCATTGTGCAAAATGGAGAGTGGATGTCATCGGACAAAAGGAAGAGCGGAAGGCATTGTGCAAAATGGAGAGTGGATGTCATCGGACAAAAGAGAAGAGCGGAAGGCATTCTGCAAAATGGAGAGTGGATGTCATCGGACAAAAAGGAAGAGCGGAAGGCATTGTGCAAAATGGAGAGGGATGTCATCTGACAAAAGGAAGTGCAGGAAGGCATTGTGTAAAATGGAGATTGGATGTCATTAGACAAAAATGGAAGATGTCAGAAGAAAAGAAGAGCGGAAGTGCAAAATGGAGAGTGGATGTCATCGGACAAAAGAGAAGGCATTCTGCGGAAGGCATTGTGCAAAATGAGAAAAGGCATTCTGCAAAATGGGGAGTCATCGGACAAAAAGAAGAGCGGAAGGCATTCTGCAAAATGGAGAGGGATGTCATCGGACAAAAAGAGAGAGCGGAAGGCATTGTGCAAAATGGAGAGTGGATGTCATCGGACAAAAGGAAGAGCGGAAGGCATTCTGCAAAATGGAGAGCGGATGTCATCGGACAAAAGAGAGAGCGGAGGCATTCATGCAAAATGTAGAGTGGATGTCATCGGACAAAAGGAAGAGGGATCGGACATTCTGCAAAATGGGAGAGCGGATGTCATCGGACAAAAGAGAGAGCAGAAGGCATTGGCAAAATGGAGAGTGATGACATCGGAAAATAGGGAGAAGGCAGAAAATGGAGATGTCATCGGACAAATGGAGAGTAGATGTCAAATGGAGAGTCGGACAATGGGAAAGTGGAAGGCATTCTGCAAAAATGGAGAGGATGTCATCGGCAAAACGCGGAAGGCAGATGGATCATGTCATCGACAAAAGGATATTGAAGGCATTGTGCAAAATGGAGAGTTATTGATGCCATCGGACAAAAGGAAGAAAGGCATGGAAGGGATGTCATCGGCAAAACGGTGAAATGGAGATGGATGTCATCGGACAAAAAGGAAGAGGAAGACATTGTGCAAAATGGAGAGTGGATGTCATCGACAAAAGGACATTCTGCAAAATGGAAGTGGATGTCATCGGACAAAAATGGAATGCTCATCAGACAAAAGGAAGATTCTGCAAATGGAGAGGATGTCATGGGAAAAAGAGAGCGGATTGTGCAAAATGGAGAGTGGATGTCATCGGACAAAAAGGAAGAAAGAAAAAAAATGGAAGTGGATGTCATCAGACAAAGCAAAATGGAAATGAGTGGATGTCATCGGACAAAAGAGAGAGCGGAAGGCATTCTGCAAAATGGAGAGTGGATGTCATCGGACAAAAAAAAAAGCATTGGCATTCAAAATGGAGAGTGGATGTCATCGGACAAAAGAAGAGAAGGCATTCTGGAATGGAGATTGTCATCGGACAAAATGGAGAGTGGATGTCATCAGACAAAAGAGAGAAGGCATTCTGCATTGGAGAGTGGATGTCATCAAAATGGAGAGTGGATGTCATCGGACAAAAGGAAGAGCGAAGGCATTCTGCAAAAATGGAGAGTGGATGTCATCGGACAAAAGAAGATTCTGCAAAATGGAAGGATGTCATCTGGACAAAATGGAGAGTGGATGTCATCGGATGTCATCGGACAAAAGGAAAAGCGGAAGGCATTCTGCAAAATGGAGAAGTGGATGTCATCGGACAAAAGGAAGGCATTGCAAAATGAAGGGATTGTCATGGACAAAAGGAAAGGAAGGCATTCTGAAAATGGAGAGTGGATGTCATCAGACAAAAGAGAGAGCAGAAGGCATTGTGCAAAATGGAGAGTGGATGTCATCGGACAAAAGGAAGAGAAGAGAGCAGAAGGCATTCTGCAAAATGGAATTGGATGTCATCGGACAAAAGGAAGAGCGGAAGGCATTCTGCAAAAATGGAAGATGTCATCGGACAAAAGAAGTATTCTGGTATCAAAAAATGGAGAAAATGGATGGATGTCATCGGACAAAAAGAAAGAGCAGAAGGCATTGTGCAAAATGGAGAGTGGATGTCATCGGACAAAAGGAAGAGCAGAAGGCATTCTGCAAAATGGAGAATGTCATCGGACAAAAGAGAGAGAAGGCAAGGCATTCTGCAAAATGGAGAGGGATGTCATTAAGGCATTCAAAATGGAGAGGATGTCATCGGACAAAAAGAAGAAAAGGCATTCTGGAAAATGGAGAGTGGATGTCATCGGACAAAAGAGAGAGCAGAAGGCATTCTGCAAAATGGAGAGTGGATGTCATCGGACAAAAGGAAGAGCGGAAGGCATTCTGCAAAATGGAGAGTGGATGTCATCGGACAAAAGGAAAAGAAGCATTCTGGAAATGGAGATTGTGCAAAATGAAAATTGAGTGATGTCATCGGACAAAAGGAAGAGCAAAATGGAAGGCATTCTGCAAAATGGAGAGCGGATGGCATTCGGGACAAAAAATGAGAGAGCGGAAGTCATTCTGCAAAATGGAGAGTGGATGTCATCGGACAAAAGGAAGAGGAAATTCTGCAAAATGGAGAGTGGATGTCATCGGACAAAGGGAGAGCGAAGAGCAGATGTCATCGGACAAAAAAAGAGGAATTATTATGCAAAATGAGAGTGGATGTCATCGGACAAAAAGAAAAAAGATTCTGCAAAATGAAGAGTCATTCTGGGAGAAAAATTGGCAAAATGGAAGTGGATGTCATCGGACAAAAAGAAGAGCGGAAGGCATTGTGCAAAATGAGAGTGGATGTCATCGGACAAAAAGGAAGAGCGGAAAGGCATTCTGCAAAATGGAGAGTGGATGTCATCGGACAAAAGGAAAGAGCAAATGGAGGAAGGCATTCTGCAAAATGAGAGAGCAGATGTCATGGAGACAAAAAAAGAAGAGCGGAAGGCATTGTGCAAAATGGAGAGTGGATGTCATCGGACAAAAGGAATGTCATCGGACAAAAAGAAAGAGCAGAAGAATTCATTGCAAAATGGAGAGTGGATGTCATCGGACAAAAAAGAAGAGCGGAAGAAGGCATTGTCATGCAAAATGGAGAGTGGATGTCATCGGACAAAATGTCAACAAAGCGAACGGAAGGCATTCTGCAAAATGGAGAGCGGATGTCATCGGACAAAAGGAAGAGCGGAAGGCATTGTGCAAAATGGAGAGTGGATGTCATCGGACAAAAGGAAGAGCGAAGGCATTGTGCAAAATGGAGAGCGGATGTCATCGGACAAAAAGAGAAGGCATTGTGAAAATGGGAGAGGATGTCATCGGATAAAGATGGCATTGTGCAAAATGGAGAGTGGATGTCATCGGACAAAAGGAAGAGCGGAAGGCATTCTGCAAAATGGAGAGGGATGTCATCGGACAAAAGAAGATGGAAGGCATTGTGCAAAATGGAGAGTGGATGTCATCGGACAAAAGGAAGAGCGGAAGGCATTGTGCAAAATGGAGAGTGGATGTCAGATAGGCATCGGACAAAAGAGGAGAGCGGGAGGGAAGGCATTGTGAAAATGGAGAATGGAAAAGGGAAAGGATGTCATCGGAAAAAAGAGAGCGGAAGGCATTGTGCAAAATGGAGAGTGGATGTCATCGGACAAAAGGAAAAGGAAGGCATTCTGCAAAATGGAGAGTGGATGTCATCGGACAAAAGAAGAGCATTGTGAAGGCATTCATGGAAAATGGAGAGTGGATGTCATCGGACAAAAGAGAGAGAGCGGAAGGCATTGTGCAAAATGGAGAGGATGTCATCGGACAAAAGGAAGAGCGGAAGGCATTCTGCAAAATGGAGAGTGGATGTCATCGGACAAAAGGAAGAGCGAAGGCATTCTGCAAAATGGAGAGTGGATGTCATCGGACAAAAGGAAGAGGGAAGGCATTCTGCAAAATGGAGAGGATGTCATCGGACAAAAAGGAAGAGAGCGGAAGGCATTCTGCAAAATGGAGAGTGGATGTCATCGGACAAAAGGGAGATTCTGCAAAATGGAAGGCATTGTGCAAAAAATGGAGAGTGGATGTCATCGGACAAAAGGAAGAGCGGAAGGCATTCTGCAAAATGGAGAGTGGATGTCATCGGACAAAAAGAGAGAGCGGAAGGCATTCTGCAAAATGGAGAGTGGATGTCATCGGACAAAAGGAAGAGCATTCTGCAAAATGAAGGCAAAAGCAAAATGGAAATGGAGAGTGGATGTCATCGGACAAAAGGAAGGCATTCTGAAAATGGCATTGTCATGAAAAATGGAGAGAGCGGATGTCATCGGACAAAAAAGAAGAGATGTCATTCGAAAATGGCATTGCAAAATGAGAGCGAAGGCATTCTGCAAATGGAGAGTGGATGTCATCGGACAAAAGGAAGAGCGGAAGGCATTCTGCAAAATGGAGAGTGGATGTCATCGGACAAAAGAAGAGCAGAAGGCATTGTGCAAAATGGAGAGGATGTCAAAAAGCATTCTGCAAATGGAAGAGTGGATTGTGCAAAATGGAGAGTGGATGTCATCGGACAAAAGGAAAGAGCGGAAGGCATTCTGCAAAATGGAGAGTGGATGTCATCGGACAAAAGGAAGAAAAGGCATTCTGCAAAATGGAGAGTGGATGTCATCGGACAAAAAGAGCGAAGATTCTGCAAAATGGAATGTCATCATTCTGCAAAATGGAGAGTGGATGTCATCGGACAAAAAGAAGAGCGGAAGGCATTGTGCAAAATGGAGAGTGGATGTCATCGGACAAAAGAAGAACGGAAGGCATTGTGCAAAATGGAGAGTGGATGTCATCGGACAAAAGGAAGAGCGAAGGCATTCTGCAAAATGGAGAGGGATGTCATCGGACAAAAGGAAGATTGGAAGGCATTCTGCAAAATGGAGAGTGGATGTCATCGGACAAAAAGGAAGAGGATTCTGCAAAAATGGGAGAGTGGATGTCATCGGACAAAAGGAAGAACGAAGGCATTGTGCAAAATGGAGAGATGATGTCATCGGACAAAAGGAAGAGTGAAGGCATTGTGCAAAATGGAGAGTGGATGTCATCGGACAAAAGGAAGAGCGGAAGGCATTCTGCAAAATGGAGAGTGGATGTCATCGGACAAAAGGAAGAGCGGAAGGCATTCTGCAAAATGGAGAGTGGATGTCATCGGACAAAAAGAGAAGAGCATTGTGAAAAATGGCATTCTGGAAAATAGAGAGTGGAAGTCATCGGACAAAAAAGGAAGAGGAAGGCATTCTGCAAAATGGAGAGTGGATGTCATCGGACAAAAGGAAGAGAAGGCATTCTGCAAAATGGAGAGGATGTCATCTGACAAAAGGAAGAGAAGGCATTCTGCAAAATGGAGAGTGGATGTCATCGGACAAAAAGGAAGAGCGGAAGGCATTCTGCAAAATGGAGAGTGGATGTCATCGGACAAAAGGGAAGAGCGGAAGGCATTCTGCAAAATGGAGAGTGGATGTCATCGGACAAAAGGAAGAGTGGAAGGCATTCTGCAAAATGGAGAGTGGATGTCATCGGACAAAAGGAAGAGAGTCGAAGGCATTCTGCAAAATGGAGAGTGGATGTCATTCTGCAAATGGAGAAAAGACAAAAGGAAGAGCGGAAGGCATTCTGCAAAATGGAGAGGGATGTCATCGGACAAAAGGAAAGGCAAAAATGGAAGGGATTCATCGGACAAAAAAGAGGAAGGCATTCTGCAAAATGGATGTCATCGGACAAAAGGGAGAGGGAAGGCATTCTGCAAATGGAAAGATGATGTCATCGACAAAAGGAAGAGCAAGGCATTCTGCAAAATGGAGAGAGGATGTCATCGGACAAAAGAGAGAGAGTGGGCATTGTGCAAAAATGGAGAGTGGATGTCAAAAAAGGGAGAGCGGAAGGCATTGTGCAAAATGAGAGGGATGTCATCAAAAGGACAAAAAAATGGAGAGAAGTCATCGGAAAGGAAGACAGAAGGCATTCTGCAAAAATGGAAAATGTCATGGAGAGGATGTCATCGGACAAAAGGAAGAGCAGGAAGGCATTCTGCAAAATGGAGAGTGGATGTCATCGGACAAAAGGAAGAGTGGAAGGCATTGTGCAAAAAAAGATGTCATCCGATAAAAGGAAGAGCATTCTGCAAAATGGAGAGTGGATGTCATCGGACAAAAGGGAGAGCGGAAGGCATTGTGCAAAATGGAGAGTGGATGTCATCGGACAAAAGGAAGAGCGGAAGGCATTCTGCAAAATGGAGAGTGGATGTCATCGGACAAAAGGAAGATTGGAAGGCATTCTGCAAAATGGAGAGCGGATGTCATCGGACAAAAGATAGAACGGAAAACATTGTGCAAAATGGAGAGTGGATGTCATCGGACAAAAGGGAGAGTGGAAGCCATTGTGCAAAAGGGAAAGTGGATGTCATCGGACAAAAGGGAGAGTGGAAGGCATTCTGACAAAAATGATGTCATCCGATGGAAGAGCATTCATTGTGCAAAATGGAAAGTCATGGAGAAAAAGAATCGGAAAAAGGCATTGTGCAAAATGGAGATAGAATCGGACAAAAAGGAAGAAAGGCATTGTGCAAAATGGGAGAGTGGATGTCATCGGACAAAAGGAAGAGCGGAAGGCATTCTGCAAAATGGAAAGTGGATGTCATCGGACAAAAGGAAGGGAAGGCATTCTGCAAAATGGAAGTGATGTCATCGGACAAAATGGGAGAGTGGATGTCATCGGACAAAAGGAAAATGGAGAGATGATGTCATCGGACAAAAGAGAGCAAGGCATTCTGCAAAATGGAGAGTGGATGTCATCGGACAAAAAAAGAAGGCATTGTGCAAAATGAGTGGATGAAGGCATTCATTCTGCAAAATGGAGAGTGGATGTCATCGGACAAAAGGGAGAGCGGAAGGCATTCTGCAAAATGGAGAGTGGATGTCATCGGACAAAAGGAAGAGCGGAAGGCATTCTGAAAATGGAGAGTGGATGTCATCGGACAAAAAGAGCGGAAGGCATTCTGCAAAATGGAGAGTGGATGTCATCGGACAAAAGATAGAACGGAAGGCATTCTGCAAATGGAGAGGGATGTCATCGGACAAAAGGGAGAGCAAAAGAAGGCATTCTGGACAAAATGGAGAGTGGATGTCAAATGGAGGATGAAAATCCGAAAAAGGGAGAGCGGAAGGCATTGTGCAAAACGGGGAGTGGATGTCATCGGAGATAAAGAAGAGCGGAAGGCATTGTGCAAAATGGAGAGTGGATGTCATCGGACAAAAGGAAGAGCGGAAGGCATTCTGCAAAATGGAGAGTGGATGTCATCGGACAAAAGGAAGAGCGGGCATTCAAAATAGAGAGGGATGTCAAGACAAAGGAAGGAAGGCATTCTGCAAATGGAGAGTGGATGTCATCGGACAAAAGGGAGAGCGGAAGGCATTCTGCAAAATGGAGAGTGGATGTCATCGGACAAAAGGGAGAGCGGAAGGCATTCTGCAAAATGGAGAGTGGATGTCATCGGACAAAAGGAAGAGCGGAAGGCATTCTGCAAAATGGAGAGATGTCATCGGACAAAAGAGTGAGCGAAGGCATTGTGCAAAATGGAAGATGTCATCGGATAGAAGGAAGAGCGGAAGGCATTCTGCAAAATGGAGAGTGGATGTCATCGGACAAAAGGAAGAGTGGAAGGCATTCTGCAAAATGGAGAGTGGATGTCATCGGACAAAAGGAAGAGCAGTGGGCATTCTGCAAAATGGAGAGTGGATGTCATCGGACAAAAGGGAGAGCGGAAGGCATTGTGCAAAATGGAGAGTGGATGTCATCGGACAAAAGGAAGAGCGGAAGGCATTCTGCAAAATGGAGAGTGGATGTCATCGGACAAAAAGGAAAAGTGGAAAAATGGCATTGGATGGACAAAAGGAAGGAAGGCATTCTGCAAAATGGAGAGATGTCATCGGACAAAAGAGAGAGAGCAGAAGGCATTCTGCAAAATGGAGAGTGGATGTCATCGGACAAAAGGAAGAGCAGAAGGCATTCTGCAAAATGGAGAGGCGGATGTCATCGGACAAAAAGAGGAAGGCAGTGGATGTCATCGGACAAAAGGAAGAGCGGAAGGCATTCTGCAAAATGGAGAGTGGATGTCATTGGACAAAAGGGAGAGCGGAAGGCATTGTGCAAAATGGAGAGTGGATGTCATCGGACAAAAGGAACAGCGGAAGGCATTGTGCAAAATGGAGAGTGGATGTCATCGGTCAACAGGAAGAGCGGAAGGCATTGTGCAAAATGGAAAGTGGATGTCATCGGACAAAAGGGAGAGCAGAAGGCATTGTGCAAAATGGAAAGTGCATGTCATCGGACAAAAGGAAGAGCGGAAGGCATTCTGCAAAATGGAGAGCGGATGTCATCGGACAAAAGGGAGAGTGGAAGGCATTGTGCAAAATGGAGAGCGGATGTCATCGGACAAAAGGGAGAGTGGAAGGCATTGTGCAAAATCGAGAGTGGATGTGATCAGACAATAAGAAGAGCGTAAGTCATCAGGAAAAATGCTGAGCAGATGCCATCGGACACAAGAGAGAATGGAAGGCATTTTTCAAAATGATGAGTGGATTTCATTCGACAAAAGGGAGAACAGAAGTTATCAGGCAAAATGGAGATCAGATGTCATCGGACAAATGGGTGAGTCGAAGGCATCGGTGTGGTAATTTTAGCAAAGGGATAAAATTTTCTTTCGGGTACAAGGAATAGGAGATTCTAGATCGCTCATCCCCTGAAATATACAAGAAGAAGAAGAAGAAGAAGAAGAAGAAGAAGAAGAAGAAGGATTATTAGTTAATAATGATTAGTGTAAGTATTCGTGTATTTTTTGAAAAAATAAGAAAGATATAAAACCGAAAAAAGGAGAAAACAGAAGTGGGAGTAGAGAAAAAGAACAGAAAGAAATGAAAGAAAAAAAATAAGAAGTGAGAGAATAAAATTGAAAAACAAAACAAAACAGTAGAATGTAATGAGAAAGAAAAAGAAGCAAACGTGGGACAACGAAACAAATGGATACAGAAGAAGAATAAAGAAAGAGAGCACGAAATAAAGAATGGAAATAAAGGAAAAGGAAAAGAAAAACTAAACGAAAGGAAGAAGCAAAAAACGAACGAGAATATCAAGAAGAATAAGACAAAGCGTCTGAAAACAAAAAAGAAAAGAAACAAAGAAAAATAAACAGATTAGAATCATAGATTCAAGAGAAAATGGCGACGATGAATAAACGAGTTGAATAATAGAAAGAAGGATAACAAGATCAAAAACAGGAAACGCGTAAGAATAAGAGAACTGTCAAAGATGAAGTAGAAGGAAATAGAAAAATAGAAGAAAATGAAGAAGAAGCAGCAGAAGTATTAGAAGAAAAAGTAGAAGAGGAAATAGATTTAAAAACATTATTATATGAAGAGAAAAAAGTAGGAATGTGATTAAAAAAGAGAAGCAAACAAAAATCAGGAAAAAAAAGAAAGAAAAAAGAAAACGAAGAAAACTAGAAGTAGAAGAAGAAGAAGAAAAGAAGAAAAAGAAAAAGAAGAAGAAGAAGAAGAAGAAGAAAAAAAAGAAGACGAAAAAGAAGAAGAAGAAGAAGAAGAAAAAGAAGAAGGAGAAAAAGAAGAAGAAGAAAAAGAAGAAGAAGAAAAAGAAGAAGAAGAAGAAAAAGAAGAAGAAGAAGAAAAGAAGAAGAAGAAGAAGAAGAAGAAGAAGAAGAAGAAAAAGAAGAAGAAGAAGAAAAAGAAGAAGAAGAAAAAGAAGAAGAAAAAGAAGAAGAAGAAGAAGAAGAAGAAGAAGAAGAAGAAAAAAGAAGAAGAAGAAAAAGAAGAAGAAGAAGAAGAAAAAGAAGAAGAAGAAGAAGAAAAAGAAGAAGAAAAAAAGAAGAAGAAGAAGAAAAAGAAGAAGAAGAAGAAAAAGAAGAAGTAGAAGAGGAAGAAGTAAAATTAAACGAAGAAGTAGAAGACGCAGAGGTAGAAGAAGAAGAAGATGAAAGATATCGAAAAAGCCTTCATGAATCACAGCGCAATAGAAGAAGACGAAAAGAAAGAAAAGGAAATAGAAGCAGTAGAAGAAGAAAAAGAAATAGAAGAAAAAGAAAACGAAGGCGTAGAAGAAGAAGAAGAAAAAGAAGATTAAAAAGTAAAAGTAAAAGAAGATGAAGTAACAGAGAAGAAGAGGAAGTATTTTGAAAAACAAAAGGAACAGCAAGAATTTGAAGAAGTAATGATATTTGAAAAGAAAAAGTAGGAATGGAATTGAAAAACGAGAAGAAAAAAACACAAAAGCTTCGTGAACCAGAACGCAATAAAATCAATTTCACAAAATAATTCGCTTTTTTTTTTTACTTTTATGCAGAAGGAAACAGGTGATTGTAGTTTAAAAGGTAAGTTCGATGAAGCATTTCCAAAGCAGATTGATGAATAAAACAGAGGGCGGAAAAACGATGGAGAATGTATATTTCTAATTTCTCTTTATTTTCCTTCTGTTTTACATCTTCCAATCTCTTCCTGCTTCATAGTTTCATTAAACAGCGTGAACATCTGGCCCAGAAACCAAAGCAAAAAATATAACAAATAAAACAAGACAATAATCTAACTTTACAACAGTGAAACACTTAACAAAAAAACATTTAAACAAAATTAAAAATAAACAAGAAATAATACAGTTCGTATTTTCGCTACAGGTAAGGTTTTAAGGACTTCCGTTTTTATTAACATCCATTAATTTCTACTCGACAAACTTAA